AGTTAGAATGAAACTCTCAGAGACTATCGAACATACGTAATGAAGGTGAGAATTTTATTATCACAATTAACTTTATGTAAGTAGATATGCTGAGCAACAGTCGCCCGTATGATACATTATAGTTTCACTGATCCATGTTGGTATGTGTATACAATAAGAACATAAATTGCGAGAATTAGGAGTTTCAACTCGCTGATAACTAATTCATTTTAATCCGAATATTAAAAATTTGAACAGAAATTTACATTCAAGATTATATTGCTAACAACATTTTTCAAAAGAAGTAATTAAAATTTAAAAAATATATGTATATGCAAATAAAAAGATTTTCTACCATAATGATGGCTATTTTTTGAGTTAAATAGCGAAAAAAATCGAAGACATAATCAACACGATATGATCAAGAAATGTGATTAATATCGTTTTTCTCGAGAAACGAAAGTGAATTTCGCGAGCGACGAGTCAACAATCTTTAAGTATTCCTCGTGTCGATTCGAGCCGAAAAAAATAACGTCTGCAAAGGATGCACGATATTCCTCTCTCCTATGTTTTTGTGACTGATATAAAAACATCTTACGTCGCATTACAGAATACCCGCATTTATGTAGACTTTACATACTTTCATCGAACTTGTTCGGTCTGTAGAGTAACGTTCATATTTTGCACAAATTTATAAAAAGCAAAAGATAAATGTCATTTATTTGCGAAGGAAAATTATGCAGAATAAACGCAAAAATTAAAAATTCATATAAGAAGTAATATACATGTGTATGTGTGATCCATTTCATAAATCATTACTATACTTTAGACTGCGGATTATCTTTATCCGCAATATATCGAGATATCTTATGCGTTTTGTTACATGCACATGACACTATTTATGCGCCATATAATTCATCGAGAATGACTTTCCGACAGCCAGGATAACACGACATAATTGTACAACTAATTAAATGACTGCAGAAACGTCGAACGCGTCCTTGCATTTTACGCGCCAATATTTCAGGATACCTCAAATACTTTTGTAAATAGCTGTAAAGATCAGACGGAGAAAAGCACGTCTTAAGACACAGGCCATTCTAGACATTCTAGAATGTCAAAATATTAATTTTTCTCTTTTTTACATTTTTTAAATATTTAAAATCTCGAAAATTAGATACTAAACATTTTATATTTGATATTCGTCAAAATAATAAAAGGTGAGCATGAAACGCATGTATCGTTTTATCCTTCTTTATTAATTGATAAATAACAAGGACAAATGATACATCACGCGCTTCATGCGTAACTTGGAATGCATCCAAAGACGTAGATATTTTTAAGTGTATCGTATAAGCATTTAATTGACTCTGTCAATACTCAAAGGCATCTTATCAAGTGTAAATTGGACAAAAATGAAAAATATAAACATTTCGAATTAGAAGAAGTATTGATTTTTTATAATCCCGGTATATCGCTAATATTAGAAATAAACCTTTATTTTTTTTAATCGTAACTGTATTTGAAACTTTAAACACATTTTTTATTAGATCACATTTTCATGCTCTAGATCAGAATATCTTATCCTTAATTTCATCAAGAATGGTACACGATTTTTTCCGCAACAAACTTTATATTAAAATAGAAAAACTAATATAGTAATTAAAAATGCGAATAGATTAATAGAAGTATATCTTCTAATGTATATTGTTTTCAATTTTGTTATGCAAAAAACTACGTTTCTAATACATTTAATTACTTAATATTTTTAATTTCTTTCAAATCCAACATAATTCTCTAAAAAAATTTCAAACTATTAATTCTCTAATTGTACTTCAATTAAGAATTTACATTGCAATCCGAGTAAATACAATATCCCTCTATAGAATGGAAAAATAGTTTTAATTAGCTAGTTATTTGCATGTATAACATATATCCCGAGATAGAAAAATCGAACGATAATCGTAATCTTTAGCTGATAATAAGGGAAAACAGTGAGAAATCGTAACAAATTATTTTCTGAGGACAGCCTTCACAATATACGCAAACTCAGACATAATCGGGCGTAATTACGACATAAATCACACGTACTTATCACGCGATCGACGAGAGATCTCGCCAAGAGCTCGTCGGCTCAACGGTCCGCGGTATTAGCGATAATATTGCCGATTATCGTTTCGTGTCACACAAATGCACGTGCGTGCTGTGGAATCTCCTTTAACCCTTTGCGGTTGAATATCGGCATTTAACTGACCACGGACTTTTACTCTTTTGCTCGAATGCGTCGGCGCGTAGCCACGTCGCAATTATCCATACGTTTAGAGTGACGAGTGAATTGCGAAACGGCAATCTACATTAAGTACCCAGGTATATAGTTGATACCGTTAACTCGTCTCTTGATTATTTTTATTACGACCACACCACCACACGTGCTAATTATTACAAAGTGATCGAAATTAGCTCGTGTTTGAATCGTAGGTTTTGTACGTCGCAACTCCTTTGATATATATTACGTAGAATTATTGTCAACAATCTTCCCTTTAAAATAAAAAAAATTAATTCTTCGTGAAAATGTCTACATTGAATACATATAAAATATATATTGCTTCTTGTATAAATTTTATACAATATTAAATATCTTATATTTCTGCACAATTTTCCTTCGTATATAGATAAATTACATCGTCTACAAATTTTCATAAATTTTCGCATAATACAAACGTACTCTATAAATTGTACAAGTTCGATAAATGTATGTGCCTGAAGTCACAAATGCGTAATACAAAATTTCAAAATATAATTTCTCTAAAATAAAATTGTTACTCGAAAAAGTCAGAAATAAGACACTGTTCTAAGTGTTTCATTTAAGTTTTCAAAATTTTTATGCATTCAAGTATTTAAAAAACATTTTTATTTAATGTGCGATTCAGGAAACATTCAAATGTTCCCTCCCCCCCAAATAGATTAAATCTAAAAGAATTCGAAAGAGGAGAAGTCATAATCGCGATTATCACGCAATAATCATGCTTGGTCGACAATACATTTATGTACGCCACAAAATCTGAATCGATTTTGCATCAACCCACACTAAATCGTTGACCCAGTTTGAGAATGAGACAAAAAAGACAAAAAAAAAGAAAGAGAGAGACACGTCGCTCATTACTTCGCGCATGAATAGAAAGCTCCAGCCATCGATCGCGCTTTCCTTCTTACGACCGATTACGTACGAAAAGACGTCGGAATTGAGCGTACAACGCAATACGCGTGTATACACGCGCTTCTTTCGCCCGCGATTGAGCATGTATCCGGCACTTCCTTCCTCGCAATCGCGGCGGAAATGCGCGAGGGAAGCCAACGTGTATCGGGAGGCTGGAGATTTATTTCTCTCCTTGATGGCACCCGGATAAAACTGCTTCCTCGCGTGCACCGCGCGAAAGAGCAAGTGTGAAAACGACGTTACATTGCATTAATTCGCACGCATCCGCGGTGCTCTTTTTATCCGCGTCACGCGAAATAATTCTATCCGATTCACTTGAGGAAGAGCCGTGAGAATACGTGTATATTGATCCCGATGTAAATCTCAATATATTTCTTTGCGATTTTTTTCCGGTTTTCTATACATCTTACTTCCTTCAGGACTTTTATATGGCATTCATATTTGAGATACATGTACACTGACAAAATGTGTACTAAATATTATTAAATATTTGAGAATACTTATTTATATCGTGTTAAGTATATATTTATTTGGTACAAGAACCATTAATTTGATTTAACTTAATTTTTTTTCAATGAATAAATATTTATTTACTACAAATAAACGTTTAATCAGTACTATAAAAAAAATACGTATTAAGATTTAGTACACTTTTTTTCGCAGCGTAATAATAATTGATGCGACTCTTACTTTTCGCGCTTGCAATCTCTTGTTCGCAAGAGGCTACATATTTAATTGTCGACGTGTACTTTTTATCGGTATGTCTGAAATCTAATTGTATCAATTATGTCAATCATGATTTTGAAAGCAGAATGCGAACTTTGCAAAGAGAATATATTTGACAATGTGCGCGCGAAAGCGGTACAAATCAACGGACCGCGAAATATGAGAATGAAAAGTGTAAAGAATTTCCCTGTAGAGAGAGAACATTAAATACCGAAGGTAACACCTCTTACTCCCGTATATATAATGTGTAAACTCGATATATTTATACTGCTACATTAATCGCTGAAGCCGATGACGCTTTGATTTCTACCTTGGAATTTGCGCCGGTTTCCTGTCACAAATTTATGCTTGTATTCTTCGTAACGTCAACGGCGAGCAAGTAAAACCGTGACAACGATATATTCTCCAGCGATCGGTTCTGTTTATAATTACATCGGAAATACTTTCACAATTCGCGACGACCGGAATAGTGCTCGAGGTCGAAGATTTCATTTCGTCATAAATAGTTGTACCTATAAAAATTGTTTTGATTCTAGCATAAAACGTATTTTAAATTTATTTATACAAGGTGATTTATTGTAATCTTAGCAGGCAATTATTTTTCAAAGGTATGTAATTTTTTGTACTAAACAACACTTCAAATAAGTTGTATGGTACTTTTATTTGGAGTTTTTTTTTTTTGGTAAAGTTGTAATTTTTACAATATTTACCTTTTAAAATCACTCTGTATAAATATTTAAAATACATTTAGGACTAGAATTGCACGCGAGGATAAAAACAATTTTTATACACAAGCATTTTTGACAAAATGACACCCTGTATAAAAACTTACAAGACAATTTGTAATTCATATCGTAATCAATATACATGTATATATATATGTATATATATATGCAATTTATTTCAATATCATTAATTAGTTAATTAAATATCTGTTAAATATATCGAGCACTCATATATGACTCCCGATACCAAATCTTTCAATTACGAATACTTGTATATAAGATTTAATATCTAGGAATGTCGGCTAGCCGATATCAACAGGTATGTTTATGAGTCAACAGAGCAGTTTACTCACCGTGAGCTGCGTCTTGTCAGGTGCAATCGCCGTGATCTCGACCGGTCTTGGCTCCGGTGGGTTCGCCCTGCTGAGAATCGCAGCCGGCATTTTCGCAACGAGGGACAGCCTCCTGGTGAGCCGTCTGCCCAATTTCGAGCGACGGCGCAACCTGATGTGGGGTCCGGTACCCTTGTAGCCCCCGAATTCCATTCTCGATCGGACGTAGTCGATCAGGATCCCTGTCCTTCCTAGCAACCGCTCTCACTGCTCATGGTGACACTGACACGTATACCCGATGCCACCGTTGCAGTTACGTGATTATTTGAATAAACGTCGTGTCCTCGCCAATGTCCATCTCGAACTCGCTCCAGGTTTCACCCTGGAAATGAGATTTCCCGTCACACACGGTTTCACATCTGATCACTCAGCCGCACGAGCCGGTGTGGCTGATGTGACGAATGCTCCAACGTTTTCGCCGCCATTTGCATTTTTCAAAATCGGCCCGCGATCACCGAGAGAGACCAACGTACGACGTATGTTCGCGTATGCTCTCCCGCGATTCGGAACTCCCGGAAGTATCTCGCGTTTGAATAACAATCCAGATGATAATCTCGGATTGAATCTCGCGACGTATACGAAACGAACTCGGAGCGCGCGCGACGTAATAAAAACCAACTGGATGCTGGAGCAGCTCAAGTATACACTCACGCACACAAGCCTCCTTCGCGCGAATGCGAATGGACTGAAGTTAGACGGGCAGGAGAGGAGAGGGGAGGGGAGGGGAGGGGACGAAGACGTGCGAAGGGAGCCGCAGGGAGCCGACGACGCACAGCCACAGTCACACGTAGCCACGTTCATGCACCTGCGGGCATCACGCGCGACATGCTGGCCATAGCACGAGCCACGAGCGCGAGCCTCCTATTTTTCCTCTCTTTTCCGTCTTATCGTCGAGCCGTCGAGGAGTCGAAATATCGAAATATCGAAACGCCGGAAGGAGAATGCCTGTCCGACTCTTTCGTTCTCGCTGCCCTGGCGATCACTCGCTCGGTCTGCCTGACGCGCTTCGACTGAAATTGAATCGCGGCAGCCTCCTACCACGCGGTCCGTCGTCGTGCCGCCTTGCCGCCTTGCTGCCTGCTGGCCACCACTAACCGCCCGCGCCGCGCCTCTCTTTCCTTTCCTCGCCTCACTTCACCTAGCGTTGCGTCGATGCGTGCGAGGCGAGGAGCTGCACCGCCGCACGCCGTTGGTAAACAAAACGTGTCCCCGCGGGAGATTAGCGTCGCGTTCAAGACCGATGATGTAACGGGTGCGCGCACCATCTCCACACGATTAAATTATTATGCTCTTAGTCGTAGAGACGCTCAAGCTGCACTGCACTATTCGCGAACAACTTCATGTTGTCACTAACTTTATACTACATGTATATATCGACTTTATAACATTTCCAGACGTCAATGACGCGCTAACTCATAAAAGTATATGTATATAAATACAAATATTTTTATAAAAGTAAATCTAAATAAAAGAAATATAAAATCTTTATGCGTATCAAGCTAAAAATCTTAATCCGTATCAAATTAAAAATTGAGATTGAATTTAAGAATGCTTCAGCTGACAATTAATCAGCTAAAAGTATTAACCAAAAAAATCAAAAGCATTTGGCTTTTTAACGGCTTGTACAGCGTAATAATTACACTTTTTTGCAGTTTTAGATGAATAACTTATTTAAAGGAGCAATGCTTGTTTCATTAATGATATGGTTCAATTTTAATCTCAGTTCAATTATAACGACTCTTTATTTTTTTTTCTAGTTTTAAGAATTAGAAAAAGATGAAGAGTAAATTAATCAAGAATAAATTTAATCTGGTGGAAATGGGCATAAGTGGATCCAAATGAACTTTTGCATGAATCTTTATTATAGAATTTTAATATGTATAATAAATTTAATCTAATTCGTAAAGCTATTTCCCCATCAAATTTGCAAACAAGTATTACAAAACGCGATTTTACTTTATAAGAATTGAAGCAAATGAACAAAATTAAATGAATCAATAAAAAAATTGTGCTCAAATTTTTCACAGATATTCAGATGTAATAATAGATAAATCTATGAAATTCTTATATTTTTAGTAATGTTTTGAGTTGTAACACATATTCTATATTTTTAACTAATCAGAAAAAAATATATCGAATAAACTTTGATTAGTCATATTCAGTCTCAATCTCTAATCCGATACGATATTAGTTCTTGATTTTCAATATGCCTGTTTCTGAAAGTAAAATAAACGCTTAATATATAATTCGATTTGAATTTGTTATAAACACTGTGCCGAATTTTTGTCTTCATTTTGTCATAGTAAATACATTAATTTGTATTTGAGAGTCTTCTTAGAACGATTTAAATAGACGAGACTTTTTCTTAATTAAGATCAAGAATTTTATGGGAAATACAAGACGCGCTCACGTTAGTTTCACTTTCTACTAAACATCTTGTTTCTTTTTCCTATCGTCTCTCCCTCCTCTCTCTCTCTCTCTCTCTCTCTCTCTCTCTCTCTCTCTCTCTCTCAGAAACTTTTAAACATGCTTTACTTTATCACGAGAGCAATTAAAATAAATCGATTTTCGTTTAACAAGGAATGATCTTTGCGAGACGTAACATTGCCGCACAAGTCACGAGACCAATTAACTCCGTTGCGCTTTTACGCGATATTGAATAGACGAGGTGCATCACGACATCCGGTGTTTCTTCAGGCGAAAGCTATTGTTTCCCGCGAGAACTCGTCAGACGCGTAATCGGAAGCCGCAGAAGGTGCGCGTCACGATAAGAAATCACGGAACAATCGATTTATATCCGCGCGCGACGGGCGTCGTTGATAAAAGCATCCTAATAACGTATAGCGTCTCGCCAATGTTTCCTTCCCCGATTATAAATAACGAAGACCTATTAGAAAGCGCATTTCTACACCGATCGCGTAGTATGTATGTATGTATGTATGTACGTCCCGATCAGTTGCATAACGCATCGCCATGTTACTCAACGTTCGATATCTGTCGAAGCTCATAAAACGTGCTCGCGGCATCACAAAATTCATCAATGCCCTAACGAATACACTGAATATGCGTGCGTATTGGAGTGTATTCAAAACGCATGCTTAATTTTAAATATTCGCATATTATAACTGTTATTCGATAATAATAATAATATAATTAATAATATATACATATATAATAGCTCTCCCTAATTATGTATTATATAAAAATATATGTATTATATAAAAATAATTATGTATTTAATTATGTATTGTATACATATATGTATATATAATAAAATGTTATATAATACCTATAATTACAAAATGTTATAAAATGTTATACAATATCTATATAATTATATTTAATTATCTATTTTAATTAGCTATTATTATATATATATTATCAAAAATTATTTGTTTCATATAAGTATATCGAAACAATTCGGATTCTTCTATGACACAAACTTAAGTATTCATGATCAGTTCTTATATTTAAAACCGTCTTAAGATATCATACAGTCTTAAGATATCATAAACCTACAATCACATAGTCGTATTAACATCTTAAGGCATTACTTAAAATGATTTTAAAATAAGAATGAATTATGAATATCGCGCGTCTTAGAATTGATTTTTTTTCAATGAGAAGTAATCATATGTCGTTCTCATTTTAATGTAATTGTTGCAAGATATTTGCCTTCATTATTAGCATCGTAAACGAGCAGCAGTCACCAGTTTTTCTGCAATTTAATTATGATTCAATTTTTTAATTTAATTCTTTACGACACAAAAAACGCTGATTTCATTTAGCTTCGAAAATTGTTGTAAAATTTATCAAAGGAAAGAATCTGTGAAATGGAAGATTTGTCGGATTAAAAATCTGCGATCTGTTAACTTGCAGCAAATATATTCGTAGTAAAACTGAAGCTCTGAATTTACGGATTGTAAAATTTTCAGTTGCTCATTAAAATTATAAATTTACGATTTGACAATTGTCAATAAATCGATGGGAACAAGGAAGGATTGTGTTTAAGAAGTCGAAACAGCTACTACTTGTTTTGAGAAAGGTTGGTGAAATCGACAGTTAATCTACGTTTTTCCTTTCGCCGAGAAGTAGCTATTCAACGCGAAATGAAGTTCGAATCCTTGCATACGTTTGTACACAAATTGAAACTTGGCGGAAGCGACATTCGCACCTTTCACCTTTGATCTCTCACCGTTTCTACGATTTCTTCTACGGGTTCTCATTATACGTCTGTGAAAAGTACACGGCCTTGCGCAGTCTTATCGAAGATGTTAAACAAGGTACGCCAACGTGCAACTATATATAGATAACAAAAATGTAATCGATCTTTTTCAAACTATGCTTCTGATAAACACGAGAAATGTTAAGTAAATCGGAACTCCTACAGAAATTTTTGCGAACTAATTTTAAAAATATATTTTTAAATTTTTAATATATTGACTGTGCGTTGACTATGTCTTGATTTCAGACATACGTGCAATCTGGATTTTCTTTTAATTTCAGTTGTTATTATTTTTTAGTACAATTTTATATTTACTATACATGCAACCACTGGTTACTTAAATAGAACAACAAGTCACGATAACATCAAAATGATATTAAAATGAATCGGAAATTATTGAAAAATGACTTTTAATAATCATTTTGATATCATAATGACTTATTGTTCTGTTTGGGTAGCGTTCATGAATTTTCCGGTATTTCGAGCATTAGATATATCTAATGTGAAACATAGAAAATAACACGTGATTGACAATCATATGAATAATTGCCAATGAGATTTTCAGATATCAATCATACTTAATACAGAAACAATATAATTGTCATAAAATACGAGCGTAATATAATGATGATTATTTATATTGTGTAGATTGATCCGAAAATCTCATTGTCAATTATTCACGCGATACACTTTCGATCGAACAAGTTTTACAAAATACGTGTTTGAATGGATCATTAGTATACATATAAATACCGAATCTATAGTTACGTGGTAGTTACATATCGAAAAAGAGTTATACAGGTTTAATATAGGTTTCATTACCATATTTGATACTTGTTTGAGAGCCGGTCCGTTTTGCCATGTCATCCTCTATCCGCTACATTCTGCGAATAAAACGTGAATACGATCAAAAGAGGGGAAAAGCATCATTTCGAAAACATCATTTCGTGCGCGGTTAACTTCACGCATAAAAAGTAATGCGAGACGCGACGGCATAATCGCGCTTTTGCGTCTTAATTTTTTGACCAAACGAGTACTTATCGTCGAAAAATATTCTCGGCCGAATAATCAGTTTACTAATACTGCTAGAATCTACATTACGCGATATTGATAATAACAATAAATATTTTAATAACACATTAGACATTTTAAAACTGTTTGAGAATTTAAAAGCGCTTGGTTTTCAAAATATTTCTCGCGTCACATGTAAAAATATTAATAATTTAATAATTAATTATTGATTACCTCGTTGGTAAATAATTCCAACGATGCTTTCAAAATTCAAGTCGTTTCTTGTAGTTTTATTTGTTGGTATTTGGAAGTTTCGAGATTCTTCGTAGAGATTAGGATACTTTTAGAGGAAAGGTCATAATCGATTCGAAGATACAGGAGTGCGAACCTGCGAACTTCTCCAACTTAACAAGATATACTCCTGACGCCTGCTCGAGTCGTAAAAGCACGAAGGTGCGAATTACGCGTTATTTATAGGAGCCGTCACTTCGCGAACCCCACCACTCGCGTATCAGCCAATGAACGCGGTGCTTCGCTGCGCTCGTTGTATTCAAACGCTCATTGGATAACGCTAGCTTTCGAATAAGGTATATAAATGCTGCGTGCTTAAAAAATTTCAGTTTTTCTTGGGAGCTGGTATCGGCCATTTCTCGAAAACTTATCTAAGAAGTTAAAATGAGTTAAGAACGAATCTAAATAATTGGATGATCGATTAAATGACCGTTAAAAAATGTATAAAAAAAGAAAGTATGTATGTAATTTCTGTCTTTGATCTGACGAACCTCCAAAAAAATTTATTTCAGCATATAGCGTTTACATTCATATGTATACCTCATCCGAGAGCTAGTAGTTAGGTAGGAGAGTATAATGTAAACGTCGATATAGAGACGATCATGAATAATTAATGCTGATATAATCTCATTTAATTTCCGACGTCGCGTACTTGCAAGAAAAGAGCCTGAATATGTCGTTTATAAACATAACAATTATTATCAGAATACATTATTAATACCTAAACAGAACTCGGTGAAGTTATATTGTTGTTATATTAATATTTTGATTTAAAAAATTTTGTTACAATTTTAATATGTTTTCTATATTTACAAAATAATGTTTAAATAATTTTTAATTTACATTATGCTTTTCTATCTTTTTCTTTTTCGAAAATTAGAAAGAAAAAGGATCCTTATTTGTAAAGTCTGTAGAGATCATCAAATCATGGATCACATCTAACTTTCTTTATCTCTATTTCAAACTTATTTCTATTACGTCGTTCGATGTTGGCTGCGTTTCGTTATCTTTCTGATTTCGAAATATCTCTGATAATTGAAATCTAGTTGAAGTTATATCAGAAATTATATTAGCTGCATTCTGTTACCACTGTACTAAAAATCTATAATACACGTAACATAAACTATAACTAGATTTTCAGTATTCACAGTGAATAAGGGAACGTATTCGTACTTTCGTAATCATTGTTGATAAATCTAGCATGTGATGGTCTTCGCTGGAGGTGTGGTGTGCTCTGTCGGGTGCTCGAAGTACTAGGCAGCATCGACCTCGACAAAAAGGGCGACATCTTCCATTGGTGTCTGCCCGACAGAATTTTTTGACAGTAGTCCGTTGCTGGTTTTCGAGATAAATTCCGGAGTAATCTCGACGCGAGCGTCACGAGCACACCGGCCGCGTGAAATAGATGGCGCGTGCGAGTACCGCGGCTACAGGAACGGCGGGTGGAACAATTCGCTCCGAGGACTCGGACACTACCACGTACGAATATGACAGATCAGAACAGAGAGCCGGAGTCGACCACGGGCACCGCTGTGGAGCAGGCGGGCGCACGACGGAAATCCAGACGTGGAAACACGGGTGGAAAACTTGCGACGCTTCTCCGGCGGTGTGAGAGTAATCGGCATCAGGAGTACAAGAGAGAAGACCTGACGAGCGACACTAGGTCGACGGAGCGTAGATTCAGAGGCTCGTCCAACAGCAAACTATCGTTCTTTGATTTCGTATGTAATGTCAAGAAGCACTTGTTACTGAAGAATTTATGCAAGTCAAAGAAAAAGGTAGACTTTTTTTCCTTCTTTCCTTTTTCTCACTTTTCTTTTTCTTCTTCATTATACCTTCCTTTGTTTGGAACGAGATTTCTTTACTCTTCTTCTGTGATGATTGTGTTTTGTCTAAAATAATTCCTTCTTGACATTCTTTTTCAGAACAAAGAGATAGAGACATCGATCTCTTGCTCTGGTACAAAGCAGAATAATGTTATATCTGTCATTAAGTCTTTCAAGTCTTGTGAAAAACGAGAACATTATTCAAATGACGAACCGGCCTCATCAGACAGACTTTTGTATGAAACCAGATTAGGTGACATACTTGAAAATTCCTGCCACATCGAAGAGAATGAAACTAATAGAATGCAATATGGTATAACTGGTATAAATCTTCATACAGTTCCTATAAGACAGAATAAATTGATAAGCAACATTACAACTGTCAGCGAAGCAACAGTAATGCAACCTACTTATTCTAATGCAACAGTAGCAGTTCTTAATGCAATAGCAGATGTTCCTGGCAGTGTGAACGAAACGTTAAATAACGAACATAAAGTTAAAGCGAGTCTCGCAAAGGAATTGCTTAATTTAAGCAAATATGGATGGTATTGGGGTCCCATATCAGGAGATGAAGCTGATGCTAAACTCATATCTGAACCAGATGGTGCATTTCTAGTTCGAGATTCGTCAGATGATAGGTGCATATACATTACTTTATTACATACTTTATTACATATACAGACTTTATTACATACTTTGACTTTGCAGAATTTTATACATTCATACGTATTAAATAAAATTCTATATGATTACCTGTAGGTATGTCCTAACACTCAGCTTTAAATCATCTGGGAGGATGTTACATGCGCGAATGGAACACAGCGGCGGCTTATTTTCTCTGTGCAATCAAAGTACTGAGAACGAAGGCTTCACTTCAGTAGCTGCTTTAATAAATCACTCCATGAACTTCAGCCAGTCCTCTGTAATTTGTTATTCGAGGCCAAAATATCCAGGATATCCTTCATTTCCGGTTAGATTAACGAAACCAGTGAGCAGATTCACACAAGTAAGGAGTCTGCAATATCTTTGTCGTTTTGTCATCCGCCAATATATTAGATTAGATAATATACACAAGTTGCCTTTGCCAAAAACTATCAAGGGATATATTCAAGAAGCGCATTATTAAAATTTAACAGATAAAGAAATAAGCAATGTTGAGATTAATAATAAAATTATTTTTTATCACAATATGTATTAATAAAAAAGTGGTATAGAATAGATTTCTAAAATGAAATGGCAGCAAAAGTATGTATGTGTGTACACACAACACACACACACACACACACACACATGAGGAATTTTATTTTCAATATGTATTATACTTTGCAAAAATATTTTCAGGAATATTTTTCTAAAATCATTATTTAATATAAAAAATGTAAAGCAAATAAACATTATAAATTATTTAAAAAATGAATATTAATATTGTTTTTTATAAGTATTACACATTATTTCTATTAAATTAAATGAGAATATTTCATATTTATTATAAATTATGTAACTCTTAGAGAAATTTGCAATAAAATTTCTATAAGTTAATTATTGTGTGTAGGCCAAGAATTTAACTTTTTCTACTATTTTATGCTAGCAGAGTGTAAAGAATAACAGGATATTTGTATAGCTGATTCCAGATGATTATATGATTACTTAATTATGATAATATGCAGGGTAAACGAATAATTGTTTTTAATCTATTGTTAAAAGAATGTTGATATAGCTTTATGTAATCAACAATTTATATCTTTATATTTTGCATGGAGATAATATAGATTTACTATCTATTTTATTGTACAGATTTTGTTAAAATATATTACTGTGTAAAATAAATTAGCTATATTTGATACTAGTTCCTTAATAATAATTTTTAATACAAAATTAAATAATTATTTTTAATAATTATTATTAATAATAATTATATTATTTACTATATTGCGAGAGACGAAGAGAAAAAGTGTGAGAGAGAGAGAGAGAGAGAGAGAGAGAGAGAGAAAGAGAAGGAAAGGAAGTAATGTAAACTACCGCTCTCACGTAATCTTGCAAATATTCCCCGGTCGCGCCCGAAAAAGCTTCTCCCTTGTGCTCAAGGCTGTTCTTTGAGGTCATTTCTGTCGTCGCAGCGAGGAAACGTGTCCTTCAGATTTACGCCACACGTCCTTCACCGCGTTTCATTGCCTGAAGGACAAAATAAGAGATTATGAACATGACACACTTATACTAATGAATATTCTGGGGTATCTCATGGCGAAATTAAAAGATTAGAGTTTCGAATATAAGGGAAGAGCGACAGGAATTTTTAGGAAGCATAAATTAAAACGACGGATAAGGTTGTACAATTTCGAATGTGGTACAATTTTGCACGAAATAAGATTTGAATTCAATTTTTGAGGTTCAAGATTAATCTGAATTATAATCAATCAGAATTAATCTACCGTTATAAAAACAGCAGAAGCTGTTTCTGTAACTCGATTTAAAGCTTCATCTGGCTTAACTGAATTGGAAAGCATTGTCTGTATTTGTAAAATATCCTTTAGTCGTCTCTCCAGGAACAACCATGTTTCTTTGTGATCTTCACTTGTATCTTGCAACATATATAATTCTGTAGCTTTATAAATAGTCGCTAGTATCATTCTCCTGGCATACCAGTTAATCTAATCAAAGTAATGTACTCTATTTAAACAGCACATCCGAACAATGTCTCTCTTATATTAACAGATAAATATTAGTGACAACTTACATCAACCGATCTATCGCCGGCATAGTAGCAGATATCATCGACTAAAGTTAATAAATTTGCTAAAGCAGTTGGTACATTCGGTGGAAGGGACATAATAGCTATTGCTTGTGGCCAGGTTTTTTTGTAGGGAACCACCATTCTCAACCGTATTTCTACAGCGTCAAGAACTTGCTGTTCTGGTGTCTTCTGTGAACTTGAGGAATTCGTTTCTTTTTCTAGGATTTCATTTAATTCCCGGTTACACATAGAGTAAAAATACTCTACTAAGGCCGCACTACCTTTTGGAAACAATCCATGTATCACGCTCGGATATCCAATTGATTCAGCACCTTTAGCATCATATCCGATTATATCATTTTATTTAATTTGTACATAAATATAATGCGATATTTTAACAAATCATGATAATAAAAAAATTAATTATAAAATAGAATAGAATATAAAAAAATAATGATTTAAATTACCAGCACTAATAGCTTGTTTGCTCCATCCCATGTCAGGAACGAATTTTAAAGAAGCGCCAAGTATTTTTAACTTAATATTTTTTTCATATTCCTCATCATTCTCCTCATGAGTAGATTGTTGTGGTTCCGCTTTTCTATTGTCATTTTTAAATTCATCGGCCAGCAAAGCCCTAGAAGTCCATAAACGTCTAAAACCTAATAAAATCAATATCTACTTTTAAAATTATCTAATAATAATAATAAAATATGCGTTAAATATATTATATAAGACATAAGAATTATTAGCAGAAATTAATTCAATTTTAGTTTAATTTTTATCACAAATATGATATTAATACAGTACACAATCTACTTAAAAAAATTTTTTATTAAATTTAAATTACAATTTTACGATCTTAAACAATTACAATTTTATGATAGTATGACATTTTCGATTGATTTTATTTCTATTCAGGTAATACATTCATCAGATTTTTCCACCAATTTTTCATTCATATCTATACATTCATTAACTCGTATAAGAATGCTTTCCATTACATCTAAACCATTTATCACTTGATAACAGACAGAAATCTTTTCGTGGAGCGGCATAATTGGTAATTGTTCGCCACCAACAGTCAATGTAACTTCCATATGAGCCTTCATTAATCTGCTATAATCTTGATTTTTAGCGAAATCCTTTTTCTGTTGCTCCAAATCCTTTTTCTTCACTCTCCAATGTGCTCTGCATAAGTCTATACCTTCTCTTAACGGATTCAAATAATTAGTTTTCAGTATATGTGTCATATTCCAAATACCTGTCTCATTGTTCTTATCTCTGATAAATAAAAATCTCAGCAAGTTCAGCGCAGTAATGATTTCGTCTGATATTTCCACCACATCAGATGAACTTCCATGAGGTAGATTGCAAATCTTTTTCAATAACAATTCCATATTTTTTCCAAGAAATTGGGGATTTCGTGGAGTTGAATCGAGACATTCGATGATAGAAGATTTAAATATGCCAGTGATAAAGCTTAATAGACCAGAATGTTCAATATTTTCATATAAATACAAGATAATAGTATATCTAGCTTCCATGTTAAATATCTCGATATAATTTTGAAAAACGCGTACTGCCTTCTTCCGTTGCTCATCACTATTAGAATAAATCATTACTTTAGTGATTGGTTGAAACAATTCTGTATATATTTCCAGGCTCAACACCTCAGAATTTAAGGAGCGAAGTGAAATGCGTTTTATAACATTTTCCATAAAATTTAATCCAGTGGAGATTGAATAATCTTCGCTAAGCAGTATTTTAAAAAAGTATGCACATGTTTCAAGGATATAATAAGAATTATATATTTGTGGTACATTTATCCAATAATTTTCTTGGGTAATTACGTAAAAATAAAAATTAGCATAAGCCATATTAGATATGTTTTGACTCCAATCTAAAATTGTAGAACAAAAAGAAGATTCAATATCTGTTTTTATATATTTGCGTAGTGTTTTAACATGAGTAGATTCTCTTTGACGTTTGCTAACAGTATCTAAAAAATATAATATATCTTCAGTGAGGTAAAGTGCTTGTGTTACTATGTTATCAGCGATTTCTTTATATGTTATTTCTTCACTGATGTATTTGTTCAAACAGCAAAAAGGTTTCCCACACAGAAAAATAAAAAAACTCAAGAGACGATTTCCAAGTAGAGATCCTTCTTCCTGCTTAGAATTGATATCTATTGCCTCTTGCACCAATGGTTCTAGAAACACTATGATTGCCTTATATGTATTTACAATTCTGTCACTAGCTGCTTCTGGATCATCGGCTTCATCTGGCAGTGGTAGATCTTCAAGGTATACCTTGATCGCATCAAAGTACCAATCGATGGTTTTACTCTTGTTTCGTATCAGCATTAAACAAGTCTGCATTGCACCCAAAATAGTACAGAAATTTACATGGTCACTCGCCCGCTTTAAATACCTTGGGAACTCTATTATGGCTATTGCGGGCTCGCAATTCTCAATTAAAAACGTCAATACATTCAAACAGCAATCGAACATCGCTTTGTGATGTTGTAACATAGGGCTCGTGAGATTCGGAACGATGGCAGATACGATGCTACATAAGCTATTTTCAGTCATCAAGTGATCCTCTTTCAAAGCCTGTATAGCTTCTGCAGTTTTACACTTGTTCAAAAGCTTGGTAACTCGGCTGATAAATGCTCCTGTCATCTTGGTAAAGCTTCCGATGGCGAAAACATATAAAAATATTACATGCAGATAACACTATTCTTCGAAAAAAGTATTTATATTACTTTTTATATGTATTTATGTGTTTACCTTCTTGTGTCAATCTCAAGTAATTCCTGCTTTATTGTTCGTCACTTGTTTGAAAGATTTTTTCATCAAAGAAATATGCAGATACGTGTATTCCTTATCTTCGCTTTTGAGGAAGAAATATCAAACACGAGTCTCTCTCGAAAACGCGTCTTTAAGCGAGATTACGTCTTCGCGTAAGAACATAGGTTAGGTTAAACGAAATGTCACGCACCCTCCTATTCTCAACACGAAAAGGCACGAAATTGCGTAGAATGGAATCTAACGACAATCAAATTTGATCGAGAGCGAGCGGTCGCGGTCGACCGAAAAGTCACAAAGACAAAGATTCCTAGAAAAAAGGTTTTGTAGGTAGGAAGAAGGATAGGACAAAACAGGACGAAAAAAGTGTGGGATAGAAGTTCAGTTCGCGAGCGTCACTAACAATTTGCTTACCGGTCGCTGCAAATTTGTTCCGTGCCAAGCGAAATGAATTAAACATCGCCATGTCACCGAATATCTCAATCTATCTTCTATCGTTAAGAAAATTCCGACAAACCATGCATGTTCTTGAGATGCGATTAGAATTTTGCGATTAGATTTCGTGAGACTATTTCTAGTTTCTACATCTGACGATTGCGCCGCAGCGTTTCTCAGACCTGATAGGTTAAGGATGGATTATATATTCGAAAGCACATTTTTCGAAGCAATCTAAAAATGATAATGTAAATTTCCACTTAATGCAGAATTTAAAATAATATTGATATTAATAAAGATCAAGTAAACAAGGTAAGTCTAACCTGGCTCGCATATTAAAGAATTGAAAAGGCATAGCAATCATCGAGATCACATGAGATTCAGCCAATCAGAGAAAAGAAATTTTACTTTTTTTTTATTCCATTTGAAGTACAATGTCGATTGGCTATGTTTGATCGCAGTTTACCGTCGAGACCAATGAACGCCGATTCACGTCGGAGATCGGAGCAGGTCGGAGCCGTCTGCTGAGTATACTCGTGAATGATGTCTCTTTTAACCTCAAATGCGTTCTGCGCAATTTCAGTTTTGTGATCGAAGAGCACTTGATTAAAGTTATCGCGTTTAATTAAATCAAACGAGAAGATTTCACCGCAGGAATTTGGTTTTCTTTAGAAATGGGTGATTCGGACGAGGAGAATTACGCGACATTTGGTGTTCCTCTTGACCCTTTGGACGAAGGTATACAAACAGAATAAATTATAGTATTTAAGAATATATTGTGTTATAAATATCCTTTTTGTTGCGTTATATTAAAAAGTTTTGATCTCACAGAGAACATCCCGCGAAAGAAGCCCATCACGATTGAGGATCAATATGCATATGATGCTCAAGGTAGACGTAGGTTTCACGGAGCCTTTACAGGTGGTTTCTCAGCAGGATACTTCAACACCGTCGGCACTCGCGATGGCTGGAGACCACAGCAATTCAAGTCTTCCAGGAGCAGCAAAGCAGACAACGTTGTTCAGCGACCAGAAGATTTTATGGATGAAGAGGATACTAGTCTCTTTGGGATAGCTCCTAAAGGTATTCGAGCCACCAGTGATTATGCCGATCATGGACAGAAAGGAAAAAAGAGAGAGAGGATAAGCCAGGAAGGACCTATTCCTGGTACTCCCATCTTGAAGGAACTTTTAAGACCTGTCAAGTTAGTATTTGTAAAAATTAGTAATGCCAATTAATAAAAATTTAATTTCTGTTTTAAATTGAAATTGTTAACAGTATGTTTTTGTTTGAGAAAAAAATAGAGTAGTGCATTAATTATTTATTAGTATGTTCAATTTGTATTCCATTTAGATTTAAAGTGATATCAATTTCTGATAATTTTAAATATTTATAATTACAGAGAAACAGTGGGTATCATCCTGCTCAAGAAAATGGGCTGGAAACCTGGTCAAGGTGTAGGTTGCAGACTGACAAAAAAAGAAAAGCAGAAGATAAAGTTGCGTAATGAAAAATTAAAACTAATACAGGACAATTCCGAAATGACAGGAAGCAATTCTGAAGATTCGAATGATGACCTCACTAATATTACTTTTGCACCTGACGATTACGAGCCATTTCGATGTAAACCGAAAGATAATTATTTTGGCATTGGTTACTCGGGTTTAGATAGGCGGAAAGTCCTTTCCAGTCACATCAATCTGTTTGAGAGTCCAGCTTTTTGCGTCCAAGATAAAAACAAGAAATTATCGATTCATGGCCAAGCGTTTGGAGTTGGTGCTTTCGAAGCTGATGACGAGGATATATATGAGAAGGAAGACATGTCGAGTTACGATTTTGCTTTGGGCCCCGAGCGTAAGGCAAAGACAAGATGGTCTCAGGATGGACCGAGTAGTTCGCAAACCGATTGTTTGGACAATTTTATTCACGCGAAAGAGAGACTAGAGAGTAAAAAAGTCTTCAAACCTCCAGAATTGCCGAAGAATTTTGCACCGGTACACACTATTAGGAAAAGTAGGTTTTATCCGCCGATTACAACCCCAGTAGAAAATAAACGCAGGGAACCATTGAATGCCATAGACAGAGCGCGAATCTTGGAAGATCCTGATGAATGTTCGAAAAAGCCACAGGCATCATCGAGTACATCCGTTGCCTCTAATATTATTTCAAAAACCTTAAATTTGCATGGTAAACAACAAACAGAAGAGAGAAGAAAATTGGAGACACAACAGAAGACGACGAGCAACTCTTGGCTGGACAAATTAAATGCACAAAGCTTCATCAAAGGTGGTATTGTTGGTTCCAGCAAAGACGATATGAGTAACTTAAAGAAATTGGAAGATTTTAAAGAATCTTTATCTGCACAATCAAGCACTGATAAATCAATGGAGAACGATTTCTCAGATAAGGGTGAAACGAGAAAACTATTCTTGTCTGATCCGGATAAACAGAGACGATTCGAGCAGTATCTTATCTTCTCGAAGAACGGCGAAAAGGATAAGTTCGAAAGTATTCAACCACTTTCTATGACTAATTGGGAGAGAGAGCAAGAACGCGAAGAATTCGAGCAAGCTACAAAACTGGAGCAATCGAATAATTATATGGCGGATAAGTTTGTAAATAGTGCTAATGATACGACGGACAAAGTGGATCCGGAAAAGGACATAAAGGAAGCGGTAAGATTGAAAATGTTCGGCAAACTTACGCGACAACGGAGTGAATGGAAGCCGACGAGTATCGTTTGCAAAAGATTTAATATTCCCGAACCGAAAGTCGGGTGCGCACCGATCGCAACAGATAGGAAATCAGCCAGATTCTCAGTCTTTGATTCCTTGGACTGGTGTAGTTCATCAAAATTCACGAAAGCCGTGGATACAGTTAAGACACAAGTGGAAGACATTCCCTTGCCATCAAGTAAAACGGAAGAAAATTTAAACGAAACGATTCCCATTGGCTCCAACGATATTCCGTCTAACATTTACCAACCTTTAGAACCTATTTCTGAAAAATTTAGAATTTTCGAAGCATCTTATGAAAAAGTTTTCGGTAAAGGTATTCACAATATTTCTTCCGCGACAACCAAAGATGTCGAACAAAATACAGAAAATAATTTAATAAACGAAACAATTCAAGAAATGAAAGAAAAGGAAAAAACACCTGAGCCGATATCTGCGCTTAAAGATCAGTCGGAAGAAAAGAAGGATCTGTTCAAAGCGATCTTTCTCAGCAGCAGCGAAGATTCCGACAGCGAGACGGAGGATAATGTTGACAACGAGGCTGTCAAATCGATTTTGATTGGAAAAGATCCGAAGGAGATAAATATGCAACGCAATACATCGCCGCCACGAGGAATCTTTGCGAAACTAGATCTTGACAGCTTGGTGACACAACCGAAACACGTTAATGACGAAAGTAAGACTAACATTTCAGAACCTAGTCCGCCAATTATTGGTGAATCGCAGAATGATCTTATAAATCGTAACGATGTAACTAATGATAAACAGACTACGATACTGCCAGATATGTATGGTCCGGTCCTGCCACAAAGATTATTGAAACAAGACAGTACTGCGACAATGACAGAAGTTGATAATACTAATCAATTGTTCAAACCAGTATTTCGAAGTGTCGTGGTATCGAAAACTATGGAGGATTCGAAACTCGGTGGAAAATGGGTGGAACGAGACAAGATAAAAAAATCGAAAAAGAAACATAAACATAAAGAGAAAGATAAATATAAGAGCTCGAAGCATAAGAAAAAATCTAAGAAAGAGAAACGTTCGAAGCGTTGATTTCTGTTTATTTTATCGTTTGATGATTCGAGTAACATAGATAAATCGATTTACCATCAAGTAATGAAAATATCTTTTAAGTACGCATCATAATTATATTCGAGATGCTTTATGCCCGATTAAAACTGTTTCATACATTATTTAATTATATTAGGTGTTAGAATTAATTCGTAGCGTTTTACAAGTGATGGGAAGTACTTTCATTAATGTATTTTTTAATGCTCATGTGAAATAAATAACATTCTTTCATTAAAAAACGCTACGAATTAATTCCAACACCTAATAATAATATTTATTATTTATGCACTTGTTTCGCGATGCATATATGTACAGCTGTAACATAAACTGAAAATATATATTTAGACTGCAGTTCTGATTATGTTAACAAATCTAACACTATTTGATATAAGGTACTTAAAATAACTCTGGGATACAGTAATACTTTATACATTATATTTTTCAATGATTGTACATTGTACAAAGGATATGTATATTTTACACACACTCATATTCACGAGCCATCTTTTATCTGTGAAAAATTTTCATAAGGTAGATATATATATATATATTAAATGGCGACTACTTGTTTTGGATATTAAAACATTAGATATCATGGTATAAGGATTTAAGATGCTATGGACATACGAGAATACACATGTACGTACATTTTTCTATTAAAATCATCCCGATATATCTAAATATGAGTTTTGAGCAGTCCGCCTTTTTATTACAGTGTCATAGAATGTAATATTTCTCTCTCTTTCTCTCTCTCTCTCTCTCTCTCTCTCTCTCTCTCTCTCTCGCTGTGGAAATAATCGTGACGTCCAGTCAAAATATCAAGTCTCTTAACAAGATCACACATGTGGGATTATTAATTCGATGTCATGGAGTTCCTTGAAGCAGGTCTGCTGGAATTGCCGGTTCCAGTCTTTTTCTCTGCGCTGAAAAGGTATCGTAACTTTTATTAAACATTGTTATATTTGAATTTTTTAAGTAATAAATTCTTTTGTCTATGCTTTTTTTATGCATATTAAATAATTTACAATTTTTTGATGTACCTGCTGCTTCTTGAACCTCTTTTGAACATAGCTGTTAATTTCTTCTTCAAGTTCTTCTTTTCCAACTTAAGGGTTTCGTTGATGCTGGTTTCAGAACCAGATGTCTGTCAAGTATTCGATCATTTTAATAAATAATGTTCTATTTGCGTAAAAATAATTTCGAATATTTAAATATCTTCTTGCCTGAAGCGAGTAGTCGGTCATGTTCGGATCATCGACGCTAGACGATTTAGTTAACTTATGTGTTAATTTTCGTATTATACCCTTGCCATATTTCTTGTCCCGATCTAACATTTCGCTCTTTGTCGATCCTCCGGAAAGGCGACTAATAATATAATAAATATAATAATTATCAAATATATTCACATTACCGGTATGTATATATTTCAAAAGATCATGTAATGTTACGAATAATATTTCGATACCTATCTACACTGGAATCTCTCTGTCGACTAGTTCCGCGAGATTCGACTTCTGATCCCTCTAATGATTGCATGCTCGACAAGTTGCTATCCGTGCCCCAAATACCTGCAGACTATTTTTTATACAA